TCCATGATTTTTACACAACCTTCCCCAATGGCAGATATTGCCATAAGTGCAGCATGACGTTGTTCCCATTTTTCTGATCCCAACATGGAGGGAATATAATTAAAAGTAATAGGAAGTACAGCTTTTCCACCTAAACAAAAAATCAAGATAATGCTACGATTAATAGAATAATTATGTGCGCATTAAGTCTAATTTGCAAGATTAAGTACCAAGATTACGAGCCAATCGATCCATGGCATGTTCTCCTATAACATAGTTTTCATCATTGTCATCATCTTCCAACTATAAAGTAAATAGGATAAAATACATTTATGTGAGGTATATTTCGAAGCTAGCTAACTAATAAATAAATATATTTTATTAAATATAAATCCTTTACATCATCGGTTGTGTACCATTCTTCACAATCATCTAATTCAGTCATCATCTCCAAGGATATAGGGATAACTTGTGAACAAAAGTCTTGAGTTTTACGCATCATTGATGGAGAGGCTTCTGATAAAGTAAGTAGAAGTTCAAGAGCAGTTTGGCGTGTACCATCTTCAAAAGTTTTATCTTTCATAATATTTATAGCGAAAGGCATAACATTAAGTAGAACCGGCCTAAATACACGTGGTAAGTTTTCACCTAATTCAATAAACACCATTATTCCATCAACTAAACCATCTTCATCTCGTTGTACCACAAGAGGAGATAAGACCTTTGCATGAAGTGGTAAAACATGTCAAATGCCAATATTGTATAAATGCTGTTAGAGTCTGTTGCATATCTACCGATATGTGAATAAATTAGCAACACCTCAATTTACTAATGTTTTTTTTTTTTTTTTTGAAAAAAAAAATCTAATCACTACGATAATTTACATATTTTCACCATTAGTGAATTTGGTATTATTAATTAAAAGATTCAAATTTTCTCAATCGTTATGTTACAGACTTTTTTCAGATTTAGTGGTTAATTTTACTATACCTCAAGCATCTGTGGCATCAATTCTGAAAAAGAAGCACGACTTTGTTGATTTGTTTCCAGCATGAATGCTACAGCAGCTTTAAGAGAAGCCATACGAATCTAGGTATAAAGTATTAATTTTAGTGGCTCGATCAATTTTTAAATAATAAATATAATAAATATAATAAATTGAAAAAAATATATAAAAATATATAAAAATATATAAAAATATATAAATATATATATAGTCTATTGTACGTACAGCCGCATTATTAGCATCTTGTAAATTTGCGGAAAACACTTGTTTCACAATTTCAATGGGCTGGTCAGTGATTAGATTAGGCACAGCAGAAAATATGCGTAAAGCAGCTTCACGATGTTCAGCAGAAGGAGATTTACTGGCTTCAAATAGAGCTGGTAATAGTTCACCCCACTTTTCTATAATAGGTAAAAGTAGGAGAGTTTTGAAATAACGTTTCAAAAGTAAGAAATAAACAAAATTCTAAAAATCAAATACTTACGTCCTTTTAGGAAGGAATTTTTGGCCACTTCAGAAACAGCATCACACACCTTATAACGTACAGTGTTTTCTTGTTCGACTGAAAGTGATACTAAAAGTTCATTTTTGATTGCTTGTCTACTTTGCTCTTGAAGACGGTCCCATATCATAGAATCTTCTGTTTTTGTTGTTTGACCTGGTACTTGCTTAAATGCAATTCTTCGAAGCAACACAAAAGCAAAAGAACGGCCCTATATCCCGATAATAATAGGCCATGATGAAAACGCGTTGTATAATTCCATCTTAGCCTTTCTATCCTTCCATTTTTTTTTTATAAATACATGAAAAAATTTTAAATGATCCTCACGTGTGTTTCTTCGTGAGATCTTCCAAGCTGAATTAAAGAAAGAAACAGTAAGTCCGGTTGTTGCGCGATCCATTGTTCATTCAGTTGTTGCTCAGCACTTGAACGAAGGGTATTATCATTAGAAGCCAAGCTTAATAACACTTGGTTT